TTGAGAGAGTTACCTTATTTCACACTATTTGGAGTGACACGGCTCACACTTTTTCTTTGAAACTGTTTTCAAATATACGTCAGACATACATCAGCCACTGTAATATGTAGATCCCTGATCCAGCCTCGCCTTCCTCCTCCTTATCCTCCTGTTCCTCGCCCTCCTCCTTTCCCTCCTTCTTCTTAAAAGCAAAAAACAAACAAAAACTTAAGTAGGAGTAGAACCAAGTAGAGTGAAATAAATACAGCATCAGATTTAAGGTGATATTTTCTTTCATTTTGAATTTGTCTAAAAATTAGAAAAATCATAAATCTACAGTTTTTTGGTGTCTTTGTCTTCCTACCAGGGTTTATAAGTACATTTTGTACATGTGTTTATTACTGACACTGCTTCTCTTCCAAAAATGTGAAACTGGCGGCCCCGATTAAGGCAGAGCGTTGGTCCATTTTGACAAAATGTAATTGATCCCATAGAAGCACATAATTTTCACTGAAAGTCAGTTGTTAAAAACCCACAGCTTCTTTAGTGACTCAGTTCAAATCTAGAGGCAGGCTTGGGTTCAAATCCCAAACCCCAATGCTTCATGGTAAGAATGCAATAAACCGAAAATGATTGTGGTTTACCTATTTAAAGTAATATTCTCCAATAATCCAGAATGTATAACTTCATATAAATTCAAAGGTAGTTAACTTGTGTGCAAATAACTTGTAATATAGTATAAACATAGCTGCTGGGAGGAAAAGTTCCTTAAGAATTCTCGTGTATTAACACTTTATAAATCTGTGGCTATTCCTAAGTACAGGGGATTTCATCAACTTAAGATGTCATAGTATCATATATCCTTTGGCAGAAAATTCCGCTTAAAGAAGTTTACACAATGATATATGCACAAAACTATTCACTGTGGCACTACAGGCTAGAAGGGCAAACAACTGCATGTCCCTGTGAGGGGACTGGTTAGATACAAAACTCACAACTACACAATGGATACTCTGTATCCACTGAAAGGAGGCAGCTCTCTGTATTTTAAAGATACACTAGGTAGTGAAAAACCAAGGCAGAGTTACAGTGTTAGTATCATAATATGTGTGAAGAAAGAAAAAAGGGAATAAATCTACATAGGTTTGAAGACATATGGAATATTTCTGCAATGGTGCAAGAAAGATAACCATAGAAGAATGCTTGCCTTTCGGGGGCAAACTGTACCAAGGGGCACAGGAGGAGAGAGACTTCTTTCCACTCTGCATCCTTTAGAATTTTGTGCTGTGCGCATGTAGAAACTGTTCACTTTTTTTTTGGAGAGGAAATAAAGGTAGTGTAGGATTTCTCTGTGAGAACACAGTCTGCGCTTCCAAGGAGGCATCTTTCAGCTAATAAAAATTGCCTTAAAGGCAACTTAAAATTCAGATTGCTCTCCGTCTAAGTTGGGTATGACTGTGCTTGGTTTAATTTTACCACGCTAGAGAGTAAAAACCATTTGAGCTTTTACCTGTCCCTTGTCTTTTCCAAAGGCAGGATTCAATACCAAGTGTTCTGAAAGTTACATTTACATTGATAATCTGAGAAGGAGGAGACAGAAAAGAGGAGACCATTAGGACACAAACGTTTATGTGATTTTAGCTGTTACAACAGTAGCTCAGAAAGATCTCAAATGTTACTTGGATGTCATCGAGATTACAAAAGGAAAACAAAAACAAAAACAAAAACGAGTGGCAGGCAACAGTGAAGAGCACCAGAGAACCAGACCCCAGCCCATGCTTCTCCTCCGTGGGAGCCCCCCTCCCCCTCGCTTTCCTCCCGGCCTTCCCTCCCCGGCCTCCACCTGCGCGCTC